CTGACGGACCGTTTTGAGCCACATTTTAATTGGCATTCTCTTTGGCGCCTCCATATATGCAGCGGCACTGGATCCAGTGCAGCTACACTGATCTTATGGAACGACGCTGAACAACCTTTAGGAACCAGCTGAGTCGGATTGGCCGACGATACCTTCGCGATGCTCTCCTAGTGAATGCCGGCAGTCTCTTTTTTAATTAATCCACTGTACTTTCCTCAAGAGAATGTTCTCCGGCCAGGGTGTTCAAATACATCCAATTTTTAGCAATTTTACAAGCACACTTGAGGATTCACAACCGTAAATGTCTATCTGGTACACAGGGGTCTTGTAACGATGGGCATCTAACGTCGGATCCAGAGACCTTTCTCCAGGATTGTGAAGAGCGTGTAAGCAGCATCGGTGCTGAAGATGCCGCCGTCCCTACCCTGTCCATTTGGCAGAAAATTATCTCCGGGGCGCTTAAGCCTGTCCAAGAGATATTTCTGGTCAGAAGTGCGACAGAAAATAAGTCATCTTTCTAACGCCCCGATAACCCGGCTGATTTAGCAACCTACTTCGCCCACGACACTATGTTCTGTGGGTCTTCATAGCTTGACGTTAGCAGGGCGATATCGCCTGCGTAGTCAAGGTCAGTCGACCGGCGTCCAGGTTCAAATTCGACATCGTACAGACAGCCTAGGGCTCCTCTAAGAATGCCGCCAATGGCCTTGTTCAACAGGAGCAGCACAAACTCCGCTAGAGGATGAATGTCTGATTAGTGTATTTACGCCCAAATCGGAACCCGACTTTGTTTGGTCCCGAGAATTTGAATGGCGATGTGGAGGATAATTCCAATAACATTAGTGGGACTTGGGCCGCGATCGTTGTCACACTTCTTCTCTCTCCTCTTGAAGATGTTCAAAAGGAGACCTGAATCCCATTCTTCAGAACCGATCTGATCTCCTCATACTTATTCCATCAGCTTACCGTCCATTCTCTGCACACAGAACCACCGCCTTAATGCATTGTTTTCTGTGGTATCCAATGGCGAGCTTATTGATGATGGTGCGCATTGGTTCAGCTACTTCCTGTGGCCATGCAGTTTTTGTATCCTGTTGCCTAATTCGAACTGAGTCACGTATTCGCTGTCTACTTCGTCTTATAACTTTAAATGTTATATTATGTATTCGCGATGACATATCTGGACCCCGAATCTTTCGGCATTTAAATCTATGCTATG